ACTTACTGGAGAACACACAGCCAAGCCTTATTAGGGGACTACTGGTTTGTTATCACAGGAACAAACCAGTAGGTAATGGTCAGGTAGTGATTAAGTAATGATTGGTTCCTCAGTGAGTTCTTGGTGTGATGCTTCACTACATCAGTGAACAAAATAATAGCCAGGCAATGATTTGGTACTCAGCAAGTCATAGTCAAGCACAGTTAAGATGACACCAGTACAAGATGATGAAATAGATCATGTCTTTCATCAATAGGTTTACAAAAGAGAAAATCCAATATAATCAGTAAGAAACAGGTTTTTGACTATTACAAGCTGTGACCTCACTGGTGCAGGGTTTATCCAGAACCCACATGGAGAACTTCTCTTCTGTTTCTGTGGTAACAAACCAGTAGGCCCCTAATAAGGCTTGACTGTGAGTTCCCCAGTAAGTACTGGTGAACTACCCATGAGCTTCTGATTCGTTCCTCTTTGGTTTCCTTTGTAACTACCCATTAGTTCTTGATTAGTTCCTCTTCATTTACAAGGTAACTAACCAGTAGTCCCCTAATAAGGCTTGGCTTTGTGCTCCCCAGTAAGTACTGGTTAACTACTAGGGGTTGAATAGACAAATTGACCAATCGACTAGTCGATTCTATATCATCTCGCAAATGTTTATATTTCACGTCGATTAGTTGCGCAAATAATAATAAATAAACTATGGTTTACTGCTTGTACTACTATTCCTACTTCATGGTTTTTCACTTATCGTGGGGCTTCAGGGTACGAATCCTCCTCGATTGTATTTCAGTATCACACCTCTGCTCACTAAATAAGTTAACCATTGCAGTCTGGTAAATTGTAAAACATACTTTTAATAAAAATGACTATTTTTTTACTCCCCAGGTACAGCATTGGTGATTATGAGGTCATTGACGAGGAAACTAACATTGTCCGCATGGACAGCTGGCTTTATATCCTGGCTGAGACGATGGGCCGGCCTTATCGCTTCAACACCAGCGGATCAGGGAAGTGGGAGGGTGGGCCCAACAAAGACTCGGTTTACATCACATCTCTGTACTTCACTATGACCAGCCTGACCAGCATCGGCTTCGGTAACATCGCCCCAACAACAGATGGAGAGAAAATCTTTGCTGTGGCCATGATGATGATCGGCTGTGAGTCGGAGCTTGTTCTCACCTCTGTAATGCAGCAAACACACACCTCGGATGTCAAGTTGTGCTCTTAAACGCTGCAAACCACTCAGAAATGGGGATAAGGGAATTATGAGCGAAGCCATCAAAGTTCAGAAAATAAAACTCCATCGATGAGATGAGCGTTATGTTTATCTTTTACCCCAAATTTTCTTTCTTCTCAAAACAGAAATACTTTGTCAGACTTGGACATTTAAAAAAATTAGACATTTTAGGCCTTTCATTAACAACCAAATTAAACAGTCATTTATTGAAAGAATGCATTTCGCTGACTCCACTGCATGCAGAGCTTTTAGAAAAATTCCTTGAGCAATCTGTTCAAAGCAGGTATTATTGTCAACTACAAAGTACTACTACACCATAGTTTAGCCCAGTATCTGTAAAACTGACTGTGTTATAGCAAGTTTTGTGTTTAAGAGTGATTAGTTTTGCCATCTATCTTCAATTAAGCTGACTTAAAAAAAAAAAGATCAGTTGTCAGTTTATGTATAATAATAACTGTGTGAGTTTCATAATCTCGTGTAGTCACAAATGTGATCTGTTAGCACTCAGAATTTGTGTTACGGATGACTCTCAGCCACTACCACTCTAAAATTTAGTTCAAAATCTGCACAGTTAACTGAGGCATAGCCTTTTTTGTGTTTTCTGAAGCTGATTAACTGTTTGTTTAATTGAATTACTTATATATGCACATCCAATGATAACTGTCTAAAAGGTTATTTAAAATCTGTCATGCGGTTCATGAGATATTTTACTGACAGACAGAAAACAAACATACACATGCAATTCAATAGCCAGCCTTTCTATGAGTAAAAATAATTGATGAAGTGTAATACAGCAGCACGGTGGCACAACTGGTAGAGCTGCTGCCTCTCAGTGAGCAGGTCCTTGGTTCAAACCCTGGTCCAGGGTCCTTTCTGGGTGGAGTTTGCATGTTCTGTCCGTGCATGCGTGGGTTTTCTCCGGGTACTCTGGTTTCCTCCCACAGACTAAAAACATGCATGTTAGGCTGATTGGTAACTCTAAATAGTCTCTAGGTGTGAGTGAGAGAGTGAATGATTGTTTGTCTCGTTTGTCTCTATGTGTCCCTGTGATGGACTTGCGACCCGTCCAGGGTGTACCCCGCCCCTCGCACAGTGATTGCTGGACATGGGCACCAGTGACCCCCGTGACCCAAAATGGAAGAAGCGGGTAAAGATAATGGATGGATGGATGAAGTGTAATACACAAGTAAAAATTTTCACAGAATTTTAAACAAAATTTTTTGATAGTGACATTTTTGAAAAATTTCAATCCAAAACCTTTTCGAAAGCAGAGTTATAGGTAGGCCTGTCACGATAACAAATTTTGCTGGGCGATAAATCATCTCAGAAAGTATTGCGATAAATGATAATATTTTTTGGGATTTAAAATTTAAAAATAAATGTTGGTTCATTTTTGTGTGTAGTACCCTTTTTGACCACTGGATGGCAGTATAAGACCGTTTCAAACCAAGGATGGATACTGAGGGAGCGAGCAGTGTGTCTCTTTAAGAAAAATGGGAGGGAGGCCCCTTGATGTGACATGGGCTGGCTCTCTTCACTTTTTTCAGTTCTCAAAATGGCGGACGCTCAGTGTGGTTTCAGCTCTTTAGCATAGTATTTTTCACACAAAGCTTTTAATTAAAAATCAGTACACAAGTTCTCAGCTCCTTTCGGCAGAGCAAGACAACTTTTTACACCCAGGCACGGGTTTCAACCGTGAATTTTTGAGCTTCGACAAGACGGAGGTTTTTTCCCGAGGTCGGCCTGTTAGCTTAGCTCGTAGCTTAGCTTCTCAGCTTAGCTGCTTTTATCGATCCAAAAACATGATTTTGGATGGTTTGAACAGATTTTAAAGAAAAGAGAAAGGGAGGGGTCAGTGAAGAGCACCTGAGTTGAGCCTTTTGTCATCTAGTGTCTTCAGTAGAAAGAGAGAGACAAGAAGAAATGATAAAGCTGTTAAATGAAAATGAGGTTGATAATTTTCATTTATCATGTGATTAATTGATTTATTGTTTATCGCGACAGGCCTAGTTATAGGTATAGATTCTGAAAATATAAAATGTGTTGGTTTTACAACCTCCTGTCCCAGTAGAGTTCTTGTTTTCTGGACCAAGATGCGTCACTTGAAGTGTTGAAACTGCGCATGCGAGAATTTGCCAGTTTGCTAAAATTCCCTTCCATCTCAGTTTGGTTTTCAGTTTTTTTTTATCTTCAGCTAAAGCTTTAAAGAAGGCTAAACCTGGAGTGAGTTGGCTTCTGTGTCAGTGAAAACATAAAGAACTAAAAACAATAAAATCAAAAATATGGGCAAGTCAAGACACATCACATTACATAACAGGAGTTACACTGCAGCTTGTTGAAGAAAAGAACATGAACATTATATATTTTTAGTGGCTGTTATATAAGTGTAGCACACTATACTGCATTTTCAATATCCCACTGCAAAAACCCTAATAATTTTTGAATTTCAATTACCTTTCAATCTCATCAGCACCACTGTCAGCTCCATTCTGTCTGATTTAACGCAGGGACATCCACTGCAGTGACATTTCACTCATTACCCACAGTCTGCTCTGTGATAACGTGCTGAATTATTTAGATCTTCTCGGGCACAAATTTAAAAGGCCTCTGAAGTTTAAAACTCATTTGAAACAGTGAATAAGAAGGCGATATCTCAGCATCTCTAACATTCTCTGTGTTGGTTTTTACCTGTTTTGTATTAGTGTGGTTTGATTTGCCAATTTCAATAAAATTACTTCTTTTTTTAAAGTAAAGGCCATCCTTGAAGGAATGCATATTACCCATTACCGTTCATGAAAGAGTTTTAAACTAAGATAATTTTATGATAAGAAGGGACGACGTTGAAGCTGTTTTGGTTCAATCTCTAATAGATCTTGTGAAATCTGTCCCTCAGAGAATGTGTTTGAGATGATTCTCAGCTACCAAAACACCAAATTGTAGCTCAGTATCTGTAAACGTAACAGTTGGTCATTTTGTGTTTGGTAAAGTCAGTTAGCTGTGGCAGCCATCTTGATTTGAATTGGTTCACTCTAAAAGTTAAATAATTGGAAGTGTACATACAGTGGTAACGTTCTGAAGTTTGATTAAAATCCATCCAGTCATCCATCCATCCATCCATCCATCCATCCATCCATCCATCCATCCAT